CATTTATGTTACATTGTTATCCCTCAACATTTATCATATCCGCAATGAGCCTATTGGCAAATCCTTGTACGCCAGTTTTCAGCATCTTAGAGAAAAATGCAGATACAAGCACCTATTTAATACAAACAATCAATACTTTTCAAAATGCCTATCGTATTTGAAATCAGCGTAGTCCCAAACACCTGTTCGCTAATTTTCAGTAACCTAAGGCAGAAAGCGTGAAAATCAATTATTTTTTGAGCAGAGTGGTCTGGTTTTTGGCAGTGTGCAATTTTACGTATGTGGCCAATCTCAACAATTTCCACATTTATTGCAGACATGATAGAACCGCTATACTCTGCTGATTCGGCTGTAAAGCCAGTAAACCCACAGGTTGGCTCTGCTGCCCAATATGAGTAAGTAAATTTCACTTTGAGCCCTCGAGTTATACCCAATTAATATTTTAGAGTAGATCAAGCTGAAGTTGTCATGATGCCACACATCGCAGGCGAAGAACTTGATGATTTATCATTAGATGACGTTGAGGCGAGACTATTACCAAGAGGTAAAGATACTTGAAATGGTCTCACTTTTATTGCCATACACAATTATAGGGATATCTGTTGTTTCTGTAAATCGACATTGTGGTAGCCGTGCAAGCTTGACGAGCAGAAAAAGCGTTTTGGACTCTCTTCGAAAACAATTCAGTCGGTCAGTTCTATATTTCAGTCAAAATCTGCTTCCTAGGCAAATATTATATTCATCATGATTAATCTAACTAAATCAGCAAATTGCCATTTAATGTGTTCTCATTCTCTTGTAGATCGTGATTAGCGCCTAATTCAAAAAGAAAAATTTTAAAAATACTTAATCGAGGGTTTCACCAATCTTTTATTAATTTACTAAGCCAATTACTAAATACGCAATGTCTATAGAATAATTTGTGAAAGCCTTCTTCGAATGACAGGACTTACTTCAAAAGTATTTGGACCGAAATTTCAAAAAAAGTATGTTCCTCCAAAAATACAGTGCTGGCGCTAAAGCTTCCAAAACATAGAAGCTCGAAAACGCTGCTTTGTCATAACTCTGTTCAAATTATACCATTTCAAAACGAATACATTCAAAGGCAGCGCTTCAACCCATATGAAAACAGTTTTTAAATTTTTTAAAAATATTGAAGTTTCTTTTCTTAAACAATGTCATGCAAACAGGCGCGATGGCCACTACTAATTAACAGCTCAGCAGCTACAGCAAATTTTTCTCCCAAACTCTCATTTTAAACCTGCCATTCAAATCTAACTTTTAAAAATATTCGGTTTCAAAA